TCTCACCTTTGAACATTCGGGCCCGCGCGCGTACGAAAGTGCAATTTGGCTTCTTTTACCCCAACCAACAGCACAAGTACCGGTTACTCATGATTATCCATAATCGCTATGCAGTCTCTTACATAATCCAGTGTATATTAAACCTGTATTATAAATGATTGAATCATAATTAGTAATTCAGTTAGTAACTGATTCCGTTTATTCTAGTTGTAGGAGCAAAAAGGTTGGGAAGCACTGCTCTATTGTGACACAACATAAGCCGAATGTATCCGGAATGAAGTTTCATGAAGAGTCAGAGATGTTGCAAAAAAATGCCTTCCCATTCATTTCCGTGTTATGGTGTGGAACTTTGCATGCGGTTTTTGGAATGCTCTGAGTTTGTTGGTTTGTTTGTTGATTCATCTCGTTTAGCATGTTTTCAGCATTTCTCAAGTGGTTAGCGTAGGTTTCCGGTGATCGTCTTTTGCCCAATTATGGCAGGTGAGAATTTGAATTTTCAGATTTTTTTTTTTGATGNCGGTGATCGTCTTTTGCCCAATTATGGCAGGTGAGAATTTGAATTTTCAGATTTTTTTTTTGATGAATATGAACAGTTTATCATCAAGGCATCATTAGTGAACTGGTTGCAAACTTGCAGCACTTTATATTTTTCTGTCTTCATTCAGCGAATTTTTAGTGGTAATGAAATTCATTGAGTACCCGACTTTGTTAGAGAAATAATTTGCATTGAAATTTTGTTGCATCAAGTTGAAAGTCAGTATGATTATGTGGAACATAATTATCGTGGTATTTCCTCGTCAGTTGAGGCCACACAATTATCGTCAAGAGCCAATCTCATTCCCAATTCGTGATAAAACCGTTTTAAAATTTTCTACTGCAATGTCACACAGCAAATCCTGTTTGAGTTTCCTTCAGCATCTTATAACAACAGAAGACTGCAATCAAGTGATGTTGATATAGTTTTGGAAGACCTTTTAAGAACTAATCCTGAGGTAGTGCTAGACGCACGACGTCAATTTGAAGATCGTCTACGCCGTTTCTATAATCAAGTTAGTTTACTTTCATAAACATTTCCAAATTATCTAATTCTCATCGTTTGCCAATAAAATCGACGAAGATATTTCATTTATTCGTTTACTTTATGCAGCTCATGATTTTTCAAATTCGTTACATAAAACAAATTCGCTTACGCTGATACGTACGCAATAGTTATGGATTCATTAAAGTGCTAGTTGTTTTGCCCATAAGTACGATTGAGCAATATTTTTGCTCTGGATTTTTCGTTCTATTATTTTCGATCATGTGAATTTCTGAATATCATCAACTATCGTTGCTTGAAGTGAAAGGAAAGCTGAAATGTGGCATTTTCTGCTACGTTGTAATAGGGTGGTATGAATTTCCGAGATGCACTTATTATCAGGAGACGTGTTGCAGAGAAATATTGGAAATGACAAACTCAACAGACGTCGAATACAACCTGGAATGATAGCAGTGGATGATGATCAACAAGAAGAACCACCGCTGCAGTTCTTTTCGGGCAACAATGATAATAATTCAACAAACGATGATCTCGTTCCGAACTATATGGTGCATATTACACATACAGTGGATTATTCAATTAAATATCTTCGTATTTTTTAAAGTTCCTTCAGCATTTTTGGCAGTGGTAACGTAATGTACATTTTCTGTTTACTTTGGATTTTATTTCTGACTGAATAGTTCATCATCCTGTTTAGATAGATTTGACGAGTAGGCACATGAATGTGGATTGGAGATGTCAGCACATCAAGAATGATGACCATGTTGATCGATTTCACGAAAATGAATCATATCGCGCAAGTGCATTCCCAGATAATCAAAACTGTCTTGCCAGGTTTTTTTTTGATTGCTGATGATCACATTTTCCACCAGTCTTGATCAAATGTTTCGTCGTTATATTTTACAACGACTCTTCTTTATCAATCAAGAAGTATGGCTATTGGAAATTAATTGTGAACCTGTGCCTTTAATCTGGTGATTGTGAGTGAACTTATTGAACAGCCTCACGATGTCAGAGCTCATCCTGTGTCAGCTGAAAGTAAAATGCGCAGGGTTGAATCCAATAAACTGATTTTGTGTCTTCTAACTAGGGACCATCTAGGCCAATCTTTCAAGCTGGTGTTACTGTACAACTTGCGCAAGTGCCCTGTTATAGCTTATAACCATAATGGTTGTTTTGGCACTCATAATTCACAGCCATTGTTGGTGGACGGATCAGTAGACTTGTTAGGTAGACTGTCACGTGCAATTGTAATTTGCATTCTTCAGTATGTCAACCGCCAACAACTCAACGCCCGATGATCGTTTCTCATATCAGCATTCATCAAGCAACACTCATTGCCACGCATCACTTTCCCCGAATACTTCTCTAAATAATGCTTTTTCTTCCATTCGGTCTTCGCATCAGTTTGATACCACTAGATATCCGGTAAATGATCATTTATCTGCTCTCCAGCGTTCAGCTGACCTAATCCAAAGCAGTCTCAACGATTTGTATCATCAAAGCTCATCTTCTGCTATTGAGCGTGTGTTTATATTTATTGCTTTTTAAAGATACGTATTTGTTGTTTCAACGACTTTTCATTTTAATCCAAGTGCCTTTTGTTCAGCTGTTAGAACCGTTTTGATTTTCGGCAAACGTTGGTTCTAAGGCTTATCAGATTTTGTTTTTTCTGCCAGTGGCTCCTCAGACATTGAGATTAGTTTGAATCAGAATTCATGAGGTCATTAAATTTTTGAACTGAAAACGATTGATAATTGCAGCAGAATCTACGCGAAATAGTTTCACAACTGAACGTCGTCTAACACCGACTCAAATAGCTCGTGTGAAGGAGTTGCTGGAAGAGCTGTTAAGAACTCTTTCCGCAACGTCAACTGAAGATAACAGTAGCAATTCTCACTTACCGTCTAGTTGCTATCCAAACGATGATATTCGACGACCTGATGCAACACTGCTTTCATCATCAGTCCTAAATCCGGGTTTTTAATTTTTTGTTGATCCAATTTTCACAGAAAATAAGTTCAGTTTTGTTCTAATAATTAAATTAACAGCTGAATATTCGTATTTCTCATGTTTTTATTTGCAGTGTAGAAAGAACTTTATGAAACGTGAAAGTCAAAACCCCATTCAAAATTCCTATGCTTCATATCGATCAAGGGTCGTATGATTTAGATGTGAGACATTTTCGTGCTACTGTTAAGAGGATCGATTTAATGCAGAAGAAATGATCGGTGATCTGAAACCAAGAAAAAGATTAATGCAACGTTTGAAAGTGATATATTTTGTCAGCTGATTTTCTCTGTAGCACTGAATGATCACTGTTTGATAGTCACATCTTATTGATTATAAATAATCAATATTTCCAGAACGAAATGGTGACAGGAGATTTGTGGCATCAGAGAATGGTGTAGAAAGTGTATCATCGGATGAAGATGTTGATGGACGCATGTTAACATCGGAAATGAATGGTGTATTGAGTTATAAGTCTGAATTTATCGATGATGTGCATCGAACGAGGATAAGTGATGATCTGAAACATTCTACACGAATACCTGCAAAAACAGTCATTAGTAGCAGGCATCGGCGAAACGAATCTACCGGTGAAAGCATCACTTACCAACGACATGTTCGTCATCATCATCTTGGTAAGTTTCGATAGATCACTGATGATGTGCAATAAAGATAGCCTTCACTTTTATGAGCTGATATGATTACTGATTGTGAGAGAATTATATGATGACGAATGTATTCGGTCTATTGCAAAATAAATACTGAACACGATAGAGTAAATTGCTCAAGCTGGAACTCGATGGTTAATTATGATAGGCATCCGCTCTTTCCTACTTTCGGTTGTTTTTTTTGCCATTTTCAGTTTTGTCTTCTCATAACCCATGGATTATATTTTCGTATTGAAATTGATGTATCTTGAAATATGGGTATCTTTCATCATTTGTGGAATCCATCAAATTCATTAAGTATGTTTTCGAAGAAATCTGTGGAGGTGTCGTTCATTTTGATCCCGTATTACTCATACTGCTTTTATACTTCAATCATTTTTTTGGAGTTGATTATTACCAACTTTTTTATGATCCCAGGCATTCAGGTGAGAGTGGTTTGAGTCGCGATAAGGCTGAAAATAGCAAACGCAGTTCAGATCGTATGAGCAGGCATGGTAGTTCTCATCGAGAAAGTCCACCTTATTGGAATAAGAAAAGGAAACGAAACAATGATTATATTCCATCATCAAGTTCCTTTGCAGTAAGTTAATTGTTTGGGATGACTGGATTCATGGTCGTCTCGGGAATACTCGAATTTAATTTTCATTATTAAAGTGATTCATTCAAGAAATTCAGTGAACTACGCTTGGTACGGTACGTGAAGGAATTCGAAATTATTAATGTTATTCGAGACCAACAAATAGTTTACTGAACGTTCTCTCATTTTTCAATATTCGCAAAGAATCATTACCGAAAATTTCTGAATGAATGTTACTTCGTGTTTCTGGAATGATAGATAAAACTGAAATTTTCCCTCTGTGGTAGAACTTTAAAGAAGCAAATTGCATCGTTCAATATGATGTTTTAATAAGATGATTGTTAAAGAGTCAGAGTGATCGATACAATTCTGTGACAACATACTCGCATATGTGCCGTTTATGTAAACGATCCACTCATACAACTGAACAGTGTGTGTACGCACGTCATCGAAAATGATATAGTCGTTGAACATTATTGTTTTGTTTTATATTTCTGATTATGTCTGATTTCTTTTTTGGATCTTCGTCTGTTGTTCAGTTGCCGGGGTAAGTGAGAAGAATCTTTTGAACATATGCGCTTCTGCAAACAATACTTATGGCGACTGAGTCGATCTGTATAAGCTTACTTTTTTTTAACCGTTATGAATTCAGTCCATATTCCAACAGTTGTAAATAGTTTCTTGGTGATGTGTTTGATAGTTCGTCTACACAACCATATCAGTCTTGCTCAGTATGGCTTAGCAGGTAAAGTAAGCTCTTGCAATATGTAAAACTCATCCAGACGAATTATTGTTTCGGCATTTTCTGTTGAACGCAGTAAGTTTTTTTTTAGCATTCTTTAAGTATTAAAATTAACCGTTTAAATGTTATGAGTTTGTGTTTTCTTTCAACTGTTCGTGTCTAAATATTTTTTTTTGTTAGTACTTCCTTGGTAAAGTGTTGTTGTTTTTCTGTGTCGGTTACTTCACATCACATTTTGTTTGTTTTTTTTCGTTTTCGTTACTTTACATTTGTTTTTTCGTTTTTTTTTCGTCTCCGAAGGAGATCGCTTTTACTTAATATAAGCTCGAATGAAAAGCAATAAAAGGAAACCTCTTTGACTTGTTTAAAAAACTGATTTATGCAGTTGATCGTGCGCTTATGATGATTATCTTTGAACTGTCGGTTGAAGCATTCTTCGGTTTGTTAACAATAAGATTCGTTTCACACTCATATGTAAAACGATTGAAACTTTTCACAAAAATGATTTAAATCTATTTGAATGAAATGTTCGATTAGCTCTTCTTCGATTAGTTATTATCAGTTTTAGTGGACAGGTTGGTTTTTGATGCCTACATTGCTTAATGAACGAGTTACCATCAGCAAGAAAATATTTTGTGGTTGCAATTTGGAAAAAGAGTTTTTTTAGTTTGAAGCTTGATCTATATGGTTTTGTAGTCTTGGAATTTATTATTCATCTCTAGGTTTTTCACAATATTTTGAGTTTTTTGCTTACAATTAGCTTTTTCTATAATATATCCAATCGATAGAGTCCATAATATATCCAGTCGATTCGTAGTTGATTTGAAGTTAGTAATTATGATCCAAATATTTCAGTGTTGTTACAAAAGCACTTCCAATAGATTATCTGATTGACATCGTATGGATAAAATAATTCGCCTTACTGATACTGGTAATGAATTATATTTTTTATATTTAAATTGTTTTATCTCTTTTGAAATAAGATCTGAAAATGATCATTCATTTTAAAACGGAAAGATCGCAATGCTTCGGCGATGTTTTTTTGGCAAATTATTGATGCCGAACGCTTTCAAAAGATGCAAAACATTATCCACTAACGAAAAATCTGCATAGTTTGCTTTGTTAACAATCCATATTGGAGCATTTCGAGTGATTGTTGGAAATGATTACGAACTGATTTGTGATTGCGAAAGTGCGATTAGAAACATAAACATTTTGAAGAAACAAAAGATGTGACAGCATTATGGAAGTTTGTTTTTTCAAAATTCTTGCAAGAAGATGGAAAGTGTTTGAGCACTGAATATGTTTAAACAGATCATCAGGATATAATGAGCTGCGTTCGTCTGTATATTGAGATGTGATTAATACTTTTTTGGTGATCATTGTTTATTGTAACGTGAGTAGTTAGCTCATTTTGAGTAGTGTACAATTTTGACGTAAAAGCGAATGGACTATGTGATTTTACTGCATGTTACACAAGCGAAATTGAGTCTCAAAAAATTGCAAGTGTTTTTCACATAAGTGAAGAAAGGTTATGGCTTATTTAGAACATGATGACTTATTCACAACATAACTCATGGTGGAAGCATGATTGTAATGAAGAAAGCGATTGAAAGAAGACGTAGAAAAGGGCTTTGAACAAGGCGATTAAGGGTACTTCATTCTTTTCAGTAGCTTCTAGATTAGCTGTTGAAGTGTTCCGGTAGGATTCTATTAGTTTTCAGCTCTCGAAACAGCCGTATCACGAGCAGTACAGGTAATTGAATCTGGTGGTATCGTTGCTCTACCAACTGACACCATATATGGACTTTCAACTGCATTGAGTAATGCCGATAAATTGTTCGAATTGAAAGCTCGAAATCGTCAAAAACCGTTTGCGTTGTTCGTTAGTGGTATCAGCGATATTTCGAAGTTTGTTGCTCAACTGTTTGTGAGGTTTTTTTTGTCGCTTCGATGTGTTCTCAATCAATTCTCAATTCAACATATGTAAAGTTTCAAGATGATTATTTATTAGGGTGTTGCATGAAATTAATGTTTTCACGATGACGGAAATATACTCATCAGATTGTTTTGTTAATATGCTTGAACTCAGTATAATTGAGCAGTATCAATATCTAAGTTCAGTTTTAGCATTAAACGATGAACAATGTTTATCAGTAATCGTAAAAATTGAAAATATTTCAAATTGCAAATGAAATATTATTACGATTCTCATGTGTGATCTGCTCTTCTCCTACCGCACCAATCCGAAAACCTAGTCAGTTATAGAGCAGTGTACGTCAAAATGCTTTTCTGATGATCCACCCTCTTCCTCTTTCATAGTCACTCACGGCTATCGTTCACATACTTCTTTATCAAGAAAAATAGATCTTATCTGAATCATGCGTTTTTTTTGTCCAACTTTCTACTTTAACACTCGTACGTAATTTCTTTTTTAGGTGGACAGTTCCAACAGTGGATGCGTTTGTTCTGAGGCGTCTTTTACCTGGTCCAGTAACGCTTGTTTTCAACCGCTCCTCTAAATTGCCCGTTAACTTCAACGAAGGCCATCGAAGTGTTGGTATCCGTATACCTGATCATGATTTTGTACGTGCACTCAGCAAGCAACTTGACGGTATGCCAATTGCGCAAACCAGTGCTAATCTGTCGAATGCTACTCAAAATCCAGTTTCAGTTGAGGTACGTATTTATTGTTCTCTTGGTGATATTCAACAGACAAATGGAAGAAAAATTAAATCAGAAAAATTATGTTATTGCAGGATTTTGAAGATCTTTGGCCAGACATTGATCTAGTAATCGATGGTGGCACCCTAAAGGATCCTCATGGAAATATCTCACGACTGGGAAGCACTGTAGTAAACCTTTCTATTCAAGGCACTTACAGTATCATTCGTGATGGTTGGTAAGTGGTTCAGTGTTTTCATTTACATCTTCATGATTTTCAAATCTTTTGGTATTCTACATTCGCACAGAGTAATACTTTATTTAGAAATATTCTACTTTCCTCTAAACATGTATTTTGTAATGCTTGTATTCAATATCGCAGTACTTGATATCAACTGAAGTAATGATTCGAAAACGCTAACAGTAAAGCATTCATATCGTGCCAGTATTAATCGTTTAATTAAGCAAAAATCATGAGGTGTTTTATTCATTAATATATGTTATTGTGCAGATTTTAAATTTCAAATCTAACATTATGTTTTTTGAAGTGTTCGAAGCGAAACAGAAGAAAAGCTGAGGGATTGTGGATTGACGGCAATCTCTGATCGAGAAATACCATTGCGGTGAATTATTGTTTACTTTGTTACTTCTCTGATGAATGCATTCCACATATTATTAGCTGATCACTTATAATTGTCAAAAACAACAGCTGGGCCTGCCAGCATTGGATATTCTTGATTGTGTATAATTTGTACTCGTTGAACTACCCAGTTTTCGCACGTTGCCATCGCGTTGAAATAATGGTAATTCATATTGACCTTCTTTTTCTGTTGCTACGATCTGAAAATTTGTTTTTTTTACTCTGCTTGATACCTAAAACACTTTTACTCAATGACATAAGAATGGGAAAAACTACTTAATCGATTCATAAATCAAGACTGAATTTTCAAAAATGAATTTTTTTTCAACTGATTTTTTTCTTGCTCAGATGTTCAACGAAAATCACGGAATGATTAGTGATGCTGCCGTCTAGCATAACGTTCTCCTCTATCAGCTCGCATAGACATATGTAAAATGAGTTACTGAAGCATTCCAACTGCTGTTACAGTTTGTTCATTGACAGATTATTGCTGTCGTTTTCAGATCGTAATGCAAATAATTATAAGCAGTGCTACATGTGGAAATACTGAAGTGCATGAATGCAGCCTTGTGCGGTACGGAGTTAATTTCACTCATCTATCCGATTGTTGCCAAAATAACGCGAATGCTTCGATATTTCCGATGAAATAGCATCTCTGATTGCTTCAAGGCAGCAATAACAAACGATTACGAGAGAGAAAAATGTCAATTTGATAATGTTAAATTTTTTTACCCTTCAAGTTGTATGATTGAAATTTCATTGCACTGTTTATGAGTAGAGGATGAAAATTGTTGAGAGATAGTTTTTTAGCTCTTATTTTCAGTACATTGTGTTCATGATTTCTCGTTATATTCAGATCATTTATCGTCGTGTTTAAAATAGCTTTTGTTCATTCGAATGCCTTTTTTAAAGGATTTTGAGTTTTTAGCGATGATCTGAGAGAGAGATTGTTCACGTGTTGTTTAAGATTCGTTTAAAAATTTAAATATTTATCTTGAGAAAGAAACTATGTAAAATGATTTTATTTCAAGATCGAAAACAATTTTTTCACTTCCATTCTATTGTTGAAATAGTGGAACTTACTCATTCATAAATTCAAGCAGTTGTAAAATGTTGAGATGTTAAACCAAGACGAATATTTTCAAATGTGAAGTATTGACGAGTTACGTCAAGTGTGTTGTTGAATAAATTTCATGTGAAGAAGTATTGGCAACGCATTAGGGCAACTTAATGAAGATTGTCGTATTGGTTAACATTATTGTTTTCTTGAATATAGCATTGAAAGTGGCACTTACATGTTCGGCGAGATATCTGAATGCTTCTTCGACACCAATGTTATCTTTAGCAGATGTATGAAATGCAGATATAAAGGATCCTCGTTTGCAGCATTCGTTCAACATTTCATCAGATATATTATTTTTTATGTCGCACTTAAAAAGTATTTGTTACATATCAGAGATTCAGTTTAAACCTTTAAGCGAGCGTCTCTGCTTGTATGTCTTGACACGGGATGATCGATCTCTGTCTCGTATTATCTACATGGAACGAGACGGAAGATCTAACTTTTTCGAATATCGATACGAGTTGACAAATTTCAAGACATTTTGAAATTTTTTCTTGGAATCTCTCGAAATGCAGTTTTGCGCTAATGGTAACGTTAAGTGATGGGAGGCTCATCTCGGTAGGACAAGACAATACGACAAGTTTCAACGAGCCATCCTCGTTTCAATCCCATTTTTTGCGTTCGAAATAGGAATCATTTTCGAGACGTTGAACTTTTATTCTCACTCCAACAAATCAAAAGCACTTCGATCAAGTGAGAGTTTTTAAAGTGGAATTTTAAAATTCTGATATGCTGACGCACGGCTGATATTCCAATGAGTATGCATATTCACGGTTACCTTATTTGCGAGAAGAATTGCAGGTACAGGTTTGCCATTCGCTAGTGTCACTTTGACATCCAAATCAGCTTTCCATTTCAGTGCTCCGTCATAAGTGGATTGTCTTGTTGAGTCGAATACGATTAATGCGCCATGCGCATCTTTATAATAAACACGAGTCATATTCCCGAATCGATCTTGACCTCAATTCACAAATATTCATTTAATTTTTCAACAATAAATTCAACTGTTCCAATATGCACTCATCATAAATGATCATGAATCTCACAAATATTATCAACACAATGTCTAGAAGGTATGCTGTCAGAATCACCAGCGCCAATCTGACTCAGAATTATTTTAACACAGTCAAATAACTTAAGCGTACGATGTGTCATATAAAATTGTTGCTATCAAATTCTTGTAAGTGAATGTGAATGATGATTCGTTGAACGGCTTATAGAATTATCGATCAATTATTGAATCTCATCTGATTTTCGCTAACCTTATTCGGAATTGCATTCCGACGCACTTTTTATTGACCACTATACTATACGCATTCTCGACTGTTTTTTGCAGTGATCAATATTAAATCGCACGCCTCAATGTGCTCAGCACAGACAATGGCATACCTTACGGTTGATGCAGATTAACTTTAACTGAACACAACAAACCTGATATATCCCATATTTGTAGTCTTAATAGAGTATCTGCATCCCACAGCAATACTTTCATCGCAAAATCAACGCCAATCTAAAATTTAATAAGATAGTATTTATATCAAAATTGTCATTCTTTATGTAGAGGCTTATGCTTGGCACAGATAATAATATCATGAGCTGATCATGGGAGAACGGAACTCTTCGAACTCCTTGAATTAGTGCTAATGCAAAACTGCACAACAATCATTCAAGTGCCGAAATTTTTGATCAAGATGCTCATATCAAATTGAAACATACTAGAAATCAGTACGAATGGAATGGAATTTCGAAAGGTTGCTGTTAAAAGGAATCATATGCGACGTTTCACGAGGTAATTCAACAGACTAAAGTCAGTTAAGTGCAATCGTTTATATTTTTGAAAAGCATTTCATTTCATCAAGAATAGCTGCGCATATGTGCATTCAAATGTGATACAAAGAAACTGAACAATAGGTAATTACGGTGGCTTTATAATATTGATTAAATAGATTATGAACGTAGCGCCGAACGATCGATGACTTGCCCGTGCCAACGTCACCAATTACAAGGATTTTAAATAGTAATTGTTTTTTGGTCATTGATTTATTCGCATCAGATGTCGAGGGCTGGAATTTATAACTCGGTATGAAATTTCAATCTAATTCATCCACTTTTACATGCAGAAGTATTGTTTTTTTGTTCAGGTAGTGATGGAAACTTATAACTCATCTTGAGTTGGATATTTCAGCATGGTAATTGGTTGATGGCTCAAAAATTACTCGAATTGTTGCTTTGAAACAGAAGCAAGCGAAAAATAGCAGGAGAATATCACATAGTCAACGCTCGATTGTTTGATTCGAGCAGTCAAGCTGTCTGTCAGGATGAAAGTTTCTCTCTTTTTTAAGAAGAATTTGACTTCAACGTTTAAATTCAAGATTTATTCGTTTAGCCTAAGTGAAAGTTCAACTTCAATGAAAAATTTAACACTCATGTGCAACATCGATTGATTGATGCATTGCAACTTTTAAGTGCGGTTCTACTTCAACGTTCATGAACGCACTCGAACTCAGTGACAAAATTCAGATGCTGTTTTACATCACTTTGATTAAAATGTAACGGAAAAACGATGTAGTGGTACTGACCTGTGAAGGAGATGCTTCCATGTTGTCGTTTAGAACGAGAGATTTCTGAACGTATTAGGAGTAATCGTCTGAAAATGTTGAGCAATAAACAGTTAGCCAAAACACTTTGTTTATTGATGAGAAAGGTATACGAAGAGTTGATGGTTGTGATCACAGAACTGGGTTGTGCCTAGTGAGCGACGTTGCAATGAAACGAGGTTGAAAGTGTTGATAAAGATATGAACGTTATCAGTTGTCCGATAATGTCGTTGATAAAACGAGTGCACTCGAATGTTAATTAAAGATTCTCAGCGATATTATGGACTATATTCACTGGGCGTTTGTAATCAGTTTGATGTTTGAACACTCATTCATATCCCCAGCAAATTGCTTATTGGAATATAACCTTCCATCCATACACGCTACTTGTAAACTGTTCACTTGGCAAGATGGAAAACAGTTCTTGTCAGATACATAATTGAAAGTGAAATGTTCAAGTTTCATCTGCTAAACGCATAATACAGTGAGGAAATAGCCAGCAACATTAGGTATAAACGTAATGACAGTAATGATGACAATAGTATTAATATTGGCTGCAGTAATAATAACAATCATATCAGAGGTTTTTGGTTCCATAATTATATCAATGGTTTTATTAGTGAAATCTAATATTCTTGCTGAATGCATGTACTGTTTTGGTTGAATTCAACCTTAACTTCAACGTTAATAATTTTATGACATTGACTGTTAATTTCTATGAAATTTAAGTTTTGGCTGGAATGGACCATAACCACTCTTATTTTGTTTAATTTGAATCGAAATTATCGATTACTTAGTCAAAAAGTGCTCATTATTGGCATGTGGTCAAAATGACCTCAATATGTGTTTTCATGAATGCTAGGATTATCAGGATGATATTTTGTAACCATCTGAGTGTTACCGAGTATTCTGAGGTGCATCAGCATGTAGTTCAAAATAAAATACGGGTAATCGCTAGCCGTTGGACTTACAACGAACCGAATTATTCACAACGAATAATTCCAAAACAGAAAAATTCACTCGACAAAAGCAATCAGAACGAAAACCTTACTCAGCAAAACCGTTTCGAAATTGTCGTGAATTATCCTATTCACGACCACCTCATGATGGATTCTTTAGTCTAATATCTATGTACTTTATCTTCGTGATTGTATTGAGATTATAGACTTGCAATGTATATCACATAACCTATCTTGCATCTTTCATGTATTATATCTGCTAAATTGCTCGTTACATTTATTGTTGTCGAATATGTTGTGTGTTTAAACGGTAAGTTAGCCAATCGCCTCTTCATCGCATCGTATCACACTCGGGAATACATGAGTTCCTTTTTCGCGATAGAAATAATTGCAGTGATATGTCGACTGTTTAGGCTGAACTGATAGGCGTTTTGACCACAATGATAACCAAAAATATATAGGAGCAATGAAATGATATTGTTTCAGCGAATCACGATAATATTTAATACTTTCAGCATCATCGTAACGCTCTCCCATAGTTTTTTTTTTGAAATTTAATACGATGCGAGCCTTCGATATGAAGGTTTGCATTTGTCTCATTATAATAGCCACTTTACTGACTCGTTACTATAATTTCAACGTTAATGTTACCGGCCTCGTCTTTGTTGGTATGCCAGCCAAAATAAAACTGTCGTCTTGTCCACGTAAATCAAAGGAACTCAGAAAGATCATTGATGTAGAATTGAAAATGAAAGTGACTACGCAGTTGTCTCGACTAACGATTAATTGCGAGGAAGAAAAATTCAGCTAAACACACATTTTCACATATCTCTCACAGTAAAATTATGAACATTATATATAGTATGTTACATTCACCAATATCTTCCAGATACCACATTACAAGTATACATTTATGTGTAATCTACATAATCGTCATATCATGCATAGCAACCTTCATGCCGATTATAAACAAGTTTCTCATTGTTTTGTTCATAAAAAATCTGTGACAGATGGATTCGCTATTTGGTTACTGAATTCCCGTCGGATGCGGTTCTTATTGAGCATCACTTTTCAATTTCTGGTCCTAAATATTTGTTACAGTTCTAATTAATTTGTTTTTCCAATAGGTCAAGTATATCAAATATGTTGATTCGCGTATGTTTATGGTTAGCGTTATTGTCGTTACGTTTAATCAACATTGGTTTAATTACTCAACGTTGAGGCGGATTTCAATCAAGATTGGAGCCACAAAACGACAATTACAAAGTGTATCAATTCAAATCGAATGAATACCAGTTTTTATTCATTGACAAGGGCTACCTCAAGCTTGGCATCTGATTCGATTGTAAGTATTCAAATCAACTGTATCACAAGTTGCTTCAAGTTGTCCTGTTTTCAATTCTTGTTGTCAAGTACTACTAAAATAATCATTCCAAGTCACTGTACCGTCAGAACAGTAATTCTTTTTCTTCCTAATACAACAATATTCAACATGCCGACCGACCATCCAGCAAATTGCTCTATTCAGTGCACTTATCAAACATTAACAAAATCTTCAATGATATCAGTACCACAATCCTCAATCTCTGGAATAACCACTGAATCTTAGCAACTCAATCGTCATTCCGATCAATTGGATTATGTGTCGTTAAACTGCATCAGTTAAGCTATACTAAATGGCTTATTAAAGTTACGCTTGTTGTAATTTGTTTTGGTGCGTAAATCTTGAGCAAATCAAAGGTCTTAACTTCAAGCTTTATTTGGTGCAGTCATTTGTGCTGTATTCGTTAATTTCAATTCATCGCCACTTCATATATTGTTTCAATTTTATTATTATCATTCGTTTTGCAACATCAATTTGCCTCATTCTATTCTCGTTAACAAACCATTATTAAGGTATTACAATCGATGTATTTTAATAACAATCAATTCAGTCTCTGTTCCACCCTCACAACAACGCTCTTAATTACTCATAATAATTACGTGGTGGCTCAATCGGTGCCGACAAATATGCCGACAATTTCATATGGTCTCAACTTGTCACATTCTACAGCTATCAAAGGTAAAGGTCGTTCTTGTGAAGCTGAATAAAACTATTACTTTATCAAAACAGACTCTCGGAGGATTATCCGTTAAATGGAGAATGTACCAAGTAGTCAAACCGAAGATGCATTCCACAAATCCAGACCGAAGTTCTAAACTTATTCCAAACTCTTAAAGACTCATTAAAATCGTATTGTTCATATACTATTAAAGTACTGTTGAAAGCGTCAAATGTTTATGTAAAGATATTATCATTTAGCAATTTCATGTTCATTTGTGCTTAACATAAAAATATGAATATCTTGTGATAGATAGTTCATTGCTGTGGTCAGAGTTACGATCGAATCTGACTTACAAAGAAATCTCCTGTCCCCATTGTCGTCGTAAGTCTGTAACTACGAATAAACAAAGTGATCTTCTTAGAAAAATGACAAAGTGATGTTTGCCATTTCGTTTTTTTTAATTTGGTAAATGCAGTAAAAATATCGTAAAGATATGAAGGAATCAATAGGTTACTATTTCTCAATAATAAAAATATGTAACGAAATTTCGCAATCAATTGTCTGTTGATAAAAATGCAGACGCCGATAAATTACTGCCTGAGACCATGGAGAACAATCATCGAACACCGTTGATCTGAGAAACGAATTGTTTAGCGTAAGAAAAATGAAAGCAGGAAAGTGTTATACGGAACTGAAATTTTCCACTCCTTCATTCTGCTTTTTTGATCTTTCTTCTTTCAGTACAACAAATTCATGGCTGCGTGGATACTTTTGCTTTTATGCAGTTATCTGTAAAATTTGAAAGAATAAAATTAATAAAATTTTGCCTCGAATCTCATCGCATTACAATGCAAGTGAGTGAATGGGTGGGAACAACTGATTTCAGCGAATGTATAATTTGACGAAGATGTATTCGTGAATAAATAGTTGCATTTATATGAATTTGTCACTATTTTATTCGGCGATTAATTGATCATGCGCATTGTAGTAATGATGTGTGTAGGTGATCATTAAACGAATTGGTTTGTTGTTGCTTGCACGAGGATGATGCATATTTTACTCATAGACGTAATCGATGAATAAGATGAAGCAGCACGTGCTTTAGACTGGCACATAGCCAGCTGAGCAGCAGCTTCACATCCGATGAGAGTTAAACAATTGTGAGGGAGTTGATTTGAGATGAGGTAATATATAACATCCAACCCCCACCGTATGTTATTTTATGAAATAACGCCTACCGTCTATCTCCCTCATTATTAATGAATCATCATTTGTCTATTCCTTCTACAATAACTCTAAGATGTCCAAGAATGTCTAGCTGAATGTTTTGCTGTCAACATGAAGCCTCTTAAATCATTCGCCTAACTACCTCACATCCGAAATTGAACTGTTAGTTTCAAACGCTTCATTATAATGTTATCTAAATTCCTCTTTC